CTCCCCCGCTCCAAAAGGGAACTCCGCGCACGGGCGACCAGAGCGGGCAGGAACTGGAAGAAGGAGGCAGGAGGTCGATGGAGGAGGAGGAGGAGCAGGAGGAGGAGGAGGACCAGTGTAAACCGAAGAGCCATCAACGATGTTGGAATACACCCTCCCTCCAAGCTCCCTCTTCGTAGGCCCCTACAACGGTTCATTTCCATTGAGGGATCTGACTCGTTGAAGACATACGTTTGAAGACCCGGGAGCATGCCAAAACATTGTTCCAATGCCAAGGATCAACCTAACTGTGGCGTCTTGACGATCCCGGATCGTGCCAGAAGGCCATTCTTGGGATTTCAATACCGCGAATCAACGTAACCGCTGCACCCGCAAAATTCGGAACCTTTCCAAAACACCATTTCTGGTACGTTGATCGTGGGAACCCGTGAAATGATTGCAAATGTTATGAACGCATGTGCGCGGCACTAAGGCGAGATCCACATGTTTAACAGGAGCCGCCCTCAATCCGCGAAAATCCTGCAAATGTTTAGAGCGAATGTGCGCGGCGCTAAGGCGAGAGCCACATTTTGAAAACGGGTGATCCTCAATCCGTGAAACTCTTGCAAATGTTTTGTTTCTCTTATAACATAGTTAAAACATATAAATTTTGCGATATATATATACACACACGCGGCGCTAAGGCGAGAGCCACATTCTGAAAGCGGGTGATCCTCAATCCGTGAAGTTCTTGCAAATTGTTACAACGAATATGCGCGGCGCTAAGGCGAGCCACATGTTGAAAACGACCCTCCCTCCATCTTTGAAACTATTTATTGCCATTTTTCAAGCTTCAGAATCATAAATGGTGAGGAAGTCTCAGGCGAAACACCTGGCCCGCCCTAAAAACTAGCCTCAGGGTGCGACAGGGAAAAGTTGTTTAAGGAGAAGGAATGGAGGCGAAGAGGTGAGTGACCATGGACACTCAGGAGATGTTTGTTTACGAGTATCCGACCATGCGTCCTCAGTCCCGGGTTTCCCAGTCCCAGCGTTACCTGAGAAACTCCTGGCTCCCTTCAGAGAGGCCCAACATGGCCTCCGACATTACCCTTTGGGATCAAGAGCTGAACAAAGAACCGTACGTTGCGCTGCTTTTGCAGGCAGCCTTGCTTGCTCCGAGGAAGCCTTCTGGCATTCACAAGCAATACCTGATCGATGGTGCAAACAAGCGAGCAATACAATCAAAACTGGCCGACGTGCGCCTACTTCCAGATACCCCACCGCTCCCGCCACGAGCTCCCTGCACCTACACACAAGCTCAATCCCAGCCATGCTCGGATACAAATGTCTGCAAACGTTCTGGATTGACTGCGGACGCCTTCCCTGTCTGCGCGCTCCGTGCCCAGGCTGCTAGTGCGCACGCACTCGTGCTACACCTCCTCCTCCTCCTCCTCCTCCTCCACCTCCACCTCCTCCTCCTCCTCCTCCTCCTCCTCCTCCTCCTCCTCCTCTCCTCATCCTCGACCTCCTCCACCTCCATTTCCTCCTCTTCATTATGTTCGTCCTCCTCCTCCTCCTATTCCTCCTCCTCCTCCTCGGCATCATCAGCATCATCATCATGATCAGCAGCAGCATCATCATCACCATCCTCATCATCCCTCTCATCATCATCACCAGCAGCAGCATCAGCATCAACATCAGCATCAGCAGAATCATCAGCAGCATCAGCATCGACATCATCGTCATCAGCACCATCAGCATCTCATCATCATCATCATCATCATCATCATCATCAGCATCAGCATCGTCATCATCATCATCAGCAGCAGCAGCATAATCATCATCAGCATCAGCATCAGCATCATCATCATCATCATGAGCAGCAGCACCAGCATCATCAGCATCATCAGCGCCATCAGCATCGCCAGCATCAGCATCATCGCCATCAGCAGCATCATCATAATCATCAGCTGCATCATCATGAGCATGGTCATCATCAACATCACCACAACCACCACCACCATCATCATCATCACCACCACCACCAGCATCATCATCATCATCATCATCCTCATCATCAGCAGCATCATCATCATCAGCATCATCAGCATCATCATCATCATCGTCATCATCAGCATCCTCATCATCATCATCGTCATCGTCATCGTCATCGTCATCATCATCATCATCATCATCATCATCATCATCATCATCATCGTCATCATCGACATCATCATCATAAAAAAAAATGATAATGATAAGAATGGTAATAATGAGTAGTAGCATCATCATCAGCATGATCAACATCATCATCGGCATCTGCATCAGCAGGATCAGCATCCACATCAGCATAATCATCAGCATCAGCATCATCATCAGCAGCCTCATCATCAGCATCATCAGCATCAGCATCATCGTCAGCATCGTCATCATCATCAGCATCATCATCACCATAGTCATCAGCATCACCTCCTCGTCTTCATGTTCCTCCTGCTCCTCCCCTCCTCCCCTCATCCGTCCCTCCTCCTCCGCGTCCTCCTCCTCCTCCTCCAACTCCTCCTCCTCATACTCCTCCTCCTCCTCTTCATCCTCCTCCTCCTCCGCCTCCTCATTACCATCACCATCACTATCACCATCACCGTCGTCAGCATCATCATCAATTTCATAATCATCATCATCATCATCATCATCATCATCATCATCAGCAGCATCATCCTCATCGTCATCATCATCATCACCATCATCATCATCAGCATCATCATGATCATCAGCATCACCATCACCATCGTCGTCATCAGGATCCTTATCGGCAGCAGCATCATGATCAGCATCAGCATCACCATCGTCATCGTCAACATAAGCATCAGCATCATCACAATTATCAGCGTCCTCATCATCAGCAGAAACGGCGCCAGCATCATCATCATCAGCAGCATCATCAACGTCAGCACCATCATCGTCCTCCTCGTCGGCAGCATCATCAGCATCAGCATCATCAGCAGCAGCAAGCATCATCATCACCATCAGCAACAGCAGCATCATCACCATCATAATCGTCATCGTCGTCAGCATCATCACCACCATCAGCAGCAGCACCATCATTACGATGAGCAGCATCATCATGATCAGCATCATCTTCAGCATCGTCAGCACCAGCATCGTCACCATCGTATAGCCTTCGTCACCAGCATCATCAGCATCAGATCAGCGTCATCAGCATCATCATCAGCAGCATCGTCATCATCACCATCAGCATCGTCATCGTCGTCATCACCAGCATTCTCATCATCAGCATCGTCATCGTCGTCAACATCATCATCAGTGTCGTTGTCGTCTTCACCATGAGCAGCAGCACCATCATCATCATCATCATCAGCAGCAGCATCATCATAATCATGATCATCAGAGTCACCATCATCCGTATGGGCATCCGCCTCATCACCATCATCAGCAGCAGCAGCATCATCAGCAGCATCATCAGCACCATCGTCTCATCAGCATCATCATCACCAGCGTCATCATCATCGTCATCATCATCATCATCAGCACCATCATCATCAGCATCATCATCATCATCATCATCATCATCATGATCATCATCAGCATAACCATCATCAGCATCATCAGCATCACCATCATCAGTATGGGTAGCAGCCTCATCATCAGCATCATCATCTGCAATCCTCATCGTCATCATCATCGTCATCATCCTCATCATCATCCTCTTTATCACCATCATCATCCCCGTCACCATGATCATCATCAGCATCAGCATCAGCATCAGCATTCGCATCATCATCATCATTACCATCATCAGCAGCATCGTCAGCAGCATCCTCAGCATCATCAGCAGCATCATCAGCATCACCATCGTCATGGTCGTCATCAGCATTATCATCATCATAATCATCATCGTCATCATCATCATCATCATCAGTGTCGGCGTCGTCATCATCATCATCAGCAGCATCACCCTCATCATCAGCATCAGTATCAGCATCATTAACATCATCATCAGCAGCATGCCCATCATCGTCATCATCATCAACATCAGCATCGGCATCATCATCAGCAGCATCATCATCACCGTCATCATCATCATCCCCATCAGCATCACCAGCATCAGCAGCATCATCAACAGCATCATCATCAGCATCATCATGTTCCATGTTCATCTTCATTTCCATGTTCTAATCAATATCCATTTCCATGTCCTCATCATCCTCATTCTCTTCCGTCTGCACACTGCTCCCACTCTTCTTCCTCGTCATCCTCCCTTTCCCGCAATTCGCACATAACCGCTCCCGCTCCCATCCACTGTAGCGGGCCGGATGCACACCATCGCGCCCACGGCCCAGCGGAGAGCTTGTGGCAAGACCACGCACGAGCGACCCCTGCCCCGGGAGGCCAGTGCACGACGACACCTGCCTAAGACGATGACGTGTACGACGACGACGTCCGAGTCGACGACGACCGACGACATCGAACTCGAGGTCGGCGTCGTCGTCGTCTTCGGAAGAGGAGGATGGCCACGAGGGGGGAGGCGAGGGGAGAAGAAGCCACCCCAACAGGTGTCAGCGACCGACGAGCCACTGCGCGCCGCGGCACCGCACATCCGACCTGGGACTTCGAGTCCCATGAAGACCTCCCAAGTGGGGTCCGAGAAGATGGAGTCGGAGGATCGCGCCGCATCGCCAATGCCTCGGTCACAGATAGACCAGACGGTGGGGCCAAAAAAGGACCTTGAATTCCTGTAGACCTAACTGCCCGCCACCCTCCGTCCCTACACTCATCAATGGACCGGCACTTTCCGGAGTGAGGCTTGTTTTGAAAGATGAGTTCATTCACGATCACAAGTTGTAGAAAGCGTTTTTCCAAAAGGATAAGTTTCTAGGGGCTCACCACTAAGATTATAGGCGTGGCTTTGAACAGAAGCATAAGAAGCGACTTTTCATTGAAATTCGTAGTCGATGTTGATGCCCTCGCTGACCTGACATAGCTGCTCCATAACACAGCATGGA